AATATAAACAATACCCTCCCCTTGGGTGGGTTAGCGCCCCATGCCCCGGGGCTCATACACTCTTATCACAATCCATACATACATCAATTGTGTAAAGCACACTTACACATTCGTTGCCCTCATCATTCTCAAAAATCTCCTTTCTGCTTGGATTCCTGGAATCAGCTCATTTTCCTTTTTGCCCTCCCCCGAGGTTTTTTATTGTAAGAAATAATTTTATTGGGGGCTCTTACACAATTTTGGTGGATTCTGTAGCCCCACTCCACAAACTTCAAGAGCTCACCTTGAAGAGCTCAGTTATGGACAGTAAAAACTGCCAAATAAAGACAACAAGAAACAACAAACAGCTTTATTTTAACGGTCTTGCCCGAGTTCCACCCAGCCGTGGATGACAGAATTTGACAGTGATTCTCTACAACCCTTGATTGCAGGATTGGTCACATATTGATCGTCACAGAAGGCCCACCCTAGAAGTAAACAAGTTGCTCTCCCCCCCAAATCCACCAAGGTCCCAGTGCCCACATGGTGTGTCTACCCCACGGGGAAGGAGCCAGGCGGCAGGGTGAGTCAGAGCACCACTCCTCTGCTCCTCAAACCCCACTCTGAGGCCCCTGTCAGGGTGGGAAGAAAGAACATTCTAGCAGCCGGTTGCCCATAATGGAAGGCCTTAAAACCTAGCAGTTCCAAAAACGAAACGAAACACCTAAGCAGAGCATCGCTAGGGGCAGAGTTGTGCTCAGCAGCTTTCCTTTTCATTGCTCCATTACAGTTCTGGGAGTTTTCCTTCAACTGGCACCATGTTTCTCATCTCTTACAGTGGTAACCAAACTCACAAGTGACCAAACTGGCAAACCAACAAAAAAACTAACCCTGTGAAAAAGAGGCCTCCGCCATCATTTCAGGGAGACGAGTACCACCAATTGGAATTCGCCTCTCCCCCGTTGCCCAGCCTCAATGCCCGCCCACACCCTCCTTTCTAGAGTTGGGCTCCTAAAGGGCGGGGTTCCATGAAGCAGGGCCCTGGGTGCTTAGGGTTGGAGCTGCTCTGGCTCCTCGGCTGGCAGCCTTGGCTGGCACTGTGGGCACCACCAGGTGAGCCTCTGGAATCTACCTGGAGGCCCGAACGTGTCCTTCTTGACCTGGTGCCCCACAGGGCATTGCTCCTTCTGGTAGACCTGAGTGTGCTGCTGTTTGCCCTGGAACTTGCCCTGAAGCCAGTCGGTGCTGAACGCCACCACATGATCCACAAGGGACTCAAGGCTCGAAGGGCTTAAGAGAGAACCAGGAGAAAGGGGATGGACTCCCGCTCTGTACAAGGCTTCGTTCTTAATGATGTTTCCTGCAAGGGAGGAGGAGAAAAGGGGTAAGCAAAGGAGAAAGGACACCCTCCCTCCATCATGGAGCCAAGTCAAAAAAAAACCACAACCCTCCATAAAGCCAACTGGAACAGGAAGACCGGGAATCAGATTGCCTTTGTATTATGGGATCATGGGCATGCCAATTAGTCTCTGATTCAATTTCTCAGGATGTAAAGTAGCTATATTAAAAAAAAGCTCTGAGTTTCTAGCTATGCGTCCTTGACAAGTTACTTAGCCTCTTAAAATTAAGCTTCTCTTTTCTCATCTACAAAACAGAGTTAACTTATCTGGTTTTTAAAAAACAGTAAAATGGGAAAACGTAGTCTTTATTGTCCCACCCAGCGGCTCCCTGCCGCACAGGCAGTGGTTTTCTATTAAACAGCTCTAGGAGGCTCGTCACTCATACCTAACCCTGAAAAGTATCTTTGGTCCAGCAGTGTATAGCAGACGGGCTGCGCCTGGCCCAGGGCTTCCAAGGCTTGTCCTCGATGAAACTTTTCAGACAAGATGTCAGAGCTGGGTTTGACTTCTGGGGAAGAGCTCCAAGACATCTGACAATTGTAAAACGCCAGGAAGCCACCACCGCCAAAGTGCAGGACCAATCTAGAAAGAATGAGAAGGTTATTTGTACATTTCACCCACTGCCCACCAAGTTCATTCTGACTCACAGCAACTCTACAGAAAGAAAATGGAACTGCTTAGTAAGGTTTCTGAGACTGTCAATCTTGATGACAGTAGACAGTCTCATACATCTCCCGAGGAGCAACTGGTGGGTTTGAGGCACCAACCCCACAGTTAGCAGGACAATACTTAACATACTGCACCACAGGGGACCTTACACCCAGAATACAGTTCAATCATACAAACATACAGCTTCCGCAACACTTAGATAAAACCCACATACACCGCCCAAGTATACCAAACACCCTGCTACCGAGTGGATTCCAATTCACAGTGACCCGATGTAGAGTTTTTGAGATTACAAATATTTATGGGAGCAAAGAGCCTTATCTTTCATCTGCAGAGTGGCCAGTGGCTTTGAACCACTGATCTTACAGTTAGCCACCCAAAGCCTATCTCACATTAAGACCCAAAGGAGACTTTGGTGGTTTAGTAGCATGAGTCTTCCTTCAATATTGGAGACCATGTTTTGAGTCCCAGCCAGTACACCTCCTGCAAAGTCATTAAGAGGTTGCTTGCAGGTTTCTATGATGCTGAACAGGCTTCAGAATTTCTAACCTAAGATGGACTAGCAAGGATGGCCTGGTAATTTATTTTTGAAAATCAGACAATAAACCCGCCAATAAACCCAAGGTGAAGGTAGGGGTAGATCCCAATCTATCAACCAGCCTGATGACATTCTCTTGGGGGTGTGGCCTTTTGCATGAGATTCTATGCAGAGCCCAGTTCTCTTGCTCCTTTGCCTTCTGCGACAGCGCGATCCTGTGTCTGGATCAATGATTCCTGTTGCCTGGCCTGCCAGGAGCCCTCAGCAGACTATTGATGGTGGATTCACTTGGCAGACCTCAGATTCATTTACCTCTGACACCCATGAGTTTGTGCCCACCCCCCTCTACAGCTACAAGAGTCAGAATCCTGACTTGACAGATTAGACCTACCTACGTCTACAACTATGTAAGACATTTCTCAGTATCAATCTTTTTATATATACCGTATATATTCGTGTATAAGCTGAGTTTTTCAGCATTTTTTTTTTTTAAAGGGGATAGCATGAACGCAGTCCCCTACTACCACAAATTATGCAGTCGAGTTTCCCACATTTGGGGAAATCACAGGGGTCAGCACACCCAGAGTGCAATGGGTGAGCCTCGCCCTGGGAAAACCACCTTCGTGATCATGGTAACTCCCCTGCCAGGTAAGTATTTTTCAGCACATTTTTAATGCAATTTTGTGGTAAAATTAAGTGTCTTGGCTGATATGCGGGTCGGCTTATACTCGAGTATAAACGGTAAATATATTTTAAAAGCATCCCTGTTTTTGCTTCTCCAGAGAACCCAACCTAACATATTTGGTATCGGAAGTGGGATCCTTCTTCAAAGGGACTTGGCTTCTGCTTCACTCAAGGAATTGTGGGTCTGTAAACTAGCTCATGGATCAGAGCTGGGCTCTGCATAGGATCTCTATCTTATACAAAAGCCCCCCCCCCCCCACCCCAAGGAGATGTCGTCAGGCTGGTTGATAGGGTGGACTCCACCCCTATATTCACCCTGGGCTTTATTGGCTGATTTTCAGAAATAAATTACCAGGCTGTGCTTCCTAGTCTACCTTAGGTTAGAAACTGTTGAATTGATTGAGGTGTCATGACTTTCTATTCTGGCAATTCAAGTTAGATGGTCATACACAGGGATCTACAATGTTTGCACTTATATATCAAGTCAATATTTTATAGGCTTCCCACTGATTTCCCTCCTAGGGAAACCCTACCTAAGTAGCCAATACCATAGGTTCATACAAGTCAAAGGATTCTAATGATTACTTTGATTCCATTGTCCAATATGGTAATATCTACCTTGTTTCTGCTGAATGAGTGCTGCAACTTTGTCCCCCTACATCCACACACACACCACCACCACCACTCCAGGCAAGGGTCTTGATTCACTTAGGGCAATTCCCACTGTGAAGCCTGGCTAAACAAAATAGCAGTCGCAGGAGTCCAGATTCTGGGCTCCCTTCACAATTTTGATTTTTTGTTTTGGTAAAGGTATGTCTTTGGGCACTCTCTTTGTGGGTTTGAGTTTAATCCCAATAAATCCACTCTAACGTGCCCATTTTCCTAAGCCTTTGGATGCCTTTTCTACAGTATACCACGTTAGGTCTGGGACTTTAAATCAGTGTAGGCCTTCTTGTAGCCCATGCTTCAGCAAGCCAACCAAATAAACTATTAGATCCTCTCCTAACTGAAACACTGAATGAAGAAGTGGGGCTTAGTGCTCTCATGTGGATAAACTCAGACTGATCTAAGCTTATGGTTCCTTGTACCATTATCCCACCCCCTTAATCACCATTCCCACACATTTTCTCCAGGTTTCTCTTTGTACATATTAGAAACTTCTAGCAGTTCTTTAGGATTATAGCATACTTTTTCCTGATTCAGCATCTGGTCTGGGGACTTGCAGTGACAAGTCTAGAAGCAATAATGGGTGGAAGAGGTATTTCCTGAGAACCTGTAGCAGTATCTAGTAACACATCTGCTTCAGGCAATGCTCCAGATACATCCCAGGCACCACATCCGTCTGAAGAGTTGGCCATAGTGGTTTGAGTGAGTGTGGCCTCAGTTCTTCTGATGGGAGAGAGAGTGCTGGTTACTGGAGTGGCTCAATGGACTGTGGGGGCTCCATGTCTCCATCTTCTGCATTAGCGCCCATACATCTCCATCCCGAGTTTCAGGGTCCCGTTTACTTATCAGTGCTTTCCCTTTAATATCAGACACTTTCTGAACCTGGAGTTATACTTCAGCTACTCAGATGATCAGACTCTTGGTTTGTTTTTCAGCAGTATCAGTTCTGTTGCTAAAAAAGATAAGGCTTTCTTTCATGACAAAAGCAGAAGCTTTGAGGTCATTTATTCAGCACTTGCGCTGGCCTTCTGAAGCTCTGTGTTCATCTGTTTCCTTTATGCGTTTGTCGACTGTAAATGATATGAAACAACCAGCATCTCCATACTTCTATCCTGACAAAACTGTAGGAAAATATCAAACACGTGACCACCCAGAGCCTCACTTCTCACCGGTACGCCATCTATTACTGGTGGTGCTATTTTGGGTATTAGCTTTGCCACTTCATGCCATGGACTAACAATGGTCTCTTTACTAATAGGGACAGATGTACCTATTCTTACAGAGACGGAGGTAGAGTTCTCAGTGCCTTTATACCTAATTAGACCTGAGAACCAAATTAGAAAAATTCATGTTTATTTTGTTTTTCTACAATGATTCCCTGTATCATGTGTGTTAGGTTGGATTCTCTAGAGCAGGGGTCCTCAAACTTTTTAAACAGGGGGCCAGTTTATTGTCCCTCAGACCCATTGGAGGGCCGGACTATAGTTAAAAAAAAAAAAAACTATGAACAAATTCCTATGCACACTGCACATATCTTATTTTGAAGTGAAAAACAAAATGGGGCAAAAACACCCGGCGGGCCAGAAAAATGTCCTCAGTAGGCCGCATGTGGCCCACGGGCCATAATTTGAAGACCCCTGCTCTAGAGAAACAAAACCAGTGATGTGTTAGACTGGGTACTTTAGAGAAACAAATCCACAGAAACTCATGTATACGAAAGCGTTTTATATAAAGGTTAAGTGCACATCAAGAAAACATCCCAAGCCAGTACTGCCCAAGCCCAGAAGTCCAACATTAACCCATATGTCCAACACCAATCCACAAAGCCCTCCTCCAGCTCACAAAACACACACTATGATGCTGACTGCCGGAGGAAAGCCGAGTCAGTGAATGTGTAAGCATCTCAGCGCTGGCAGGGGTCTCCACACCGCTGCTCCAGCACCCAGGGCTGCATGGGGTAGTTCCATGCGGCTTCTCCTCAGGGATGTCTTGCAGGAAGTGAGCCTTGCCATCTAAAGCAGGGACCTGGCTAAGGCAACCGCAGCCTGGTCCGACCATCAGAAAGCAAGAGACCTGAGAACTAGAAAGGCGGGGCTCACCAAGCCATTAATCCCTCCGCCCTCAATTAATTCCACATGTGTTTATTGGCCAGGCTGCCACAATAAACTAATTCAATCCACCCCTGGCCAACCTGGCACCTATACATAATTCTTTAACTTAACAATTGCAATTAAGTAACACCTACACCTTAACCCTATAATCCTGTGAATTTTTCCCACGTATGAAAGTTTGTAAGCCAACCACTTCATGCCTTTATCTTCCCCAATTTGGGGTATCCAATTTATATATTGCCCACTTACATCAACCCAGTTCTCTGAGAAGACAATCATATTTTTCGACATGAAGAGTTTTCATTCCAGTTGGAAGCTTGTAAAGTCTGTAACCATAAGCAAAGTCAAATCCGGACAGGCCAACTACAGTCAGCAACAAATATGCCCAGTTCACAGGCTCAAAAATCTCCAGCTGGTTGGGTTCTGGTCAACTCAATGTGGGCTGCCTCACTCAGCCTTCCCAGGGTGCCCATTGGACGCCTTGCCTTGGACCATGGGCTCTCACCAATACTCAACAAGCCTAGCCCCCTCGTGTTAGGTCATGAACCTTAGACCAGTCAACCCGCTCTCATCTTCTCCTCTTTTTCCTGTAAACCAAGTCCACAGGTGTCAGTGGCCAAACTCAATCTGTCTCTTTATTGCTGCATGTCTCCCACTTCCACTCAACAAGTAGATCCAGCATTTCAGCCTGCTCACAGGCTCCCTTTAACATGCAGTCCCAGAGAGGAGTTTTCTTCATGGTTCCAGATTTTTTCCAGCTTCTGACAAAGACTACTGGTTCCTGAGTACTCCAAAGCACTGGATGGGGCATATCTTTCTTTGCAAATGTGGCCTAAACCCATCTATAGATCAAATTTTAATGGCTGAAATCAAGTGGGCTTACAAACTTTCTATTTTCCTACTTCCCATATTTT